AAAAGTACAAGTTGTAGCTTGCATCTTCTGCCCTGTGCCCACTGCAATATCAAATAGCTTCTTTCAATAAATTGCTTTAAATGTGTTAACTGTATAAGGGCTGGTTACAGTAGGGCAGTGAAGCAGCTGAACAAAAAGGGTATCTGGAAAGGGTAGAGATGCCTGAAGAGTATGATTTAAGTGTCAGTGCTCTTTGAATAGGTAGAGAGCATTAGGCATTTGGGTGGGGGAGATGTCTTTAAAAAAACAAACCCTAAATGAATGGAGGAACTGGTTACATGCGACTTCTGAAGATACATTATGGAGTCTAGCTACTTAACTCTAACTTTCTAGTGTAAACAGTTTTAACTTTTTCTACACTCCCTGCCATCGTTTGTTTTCAACACTGTCATCTTTTTACACAGCCAAAATAACACTTTCTTCATATGCTGTTGGCATGGGCTTTCAGGCTACAAAGCAAGGGCCTGGTAACAACATTGGGTGTGTGCAGTGATTGTACTTTATCCCTTCTGTAGTTAACAAATGTTTTCAGCCTGCCCTCTGGCAGAAAAGGAAAATCCAGTTCTAGATCAAAAGGAAGGGAAGATGATTAGCCTTGGTTTGTACTAGGAGGGAACTTGAAACACAAACCACTGAACAGTAATCTTTCAACAGGATGCCTTCAGTTTACTTGCATACTCGGATCCGTGGAGCAGTCCAGTTGGGAACCAACTTGATCCAATACAGAGAGAACCTGTGTGCTCTGTTCTTAATAGTGCAATACTAGGTAAGGCTTCCTGGCTTTCTACTAACATGTTTATTTAGGTGTGTGCTACTAAAGCACAAATGTAATAGCATTTCCAAGACTCGATGCAAAGGACTAGCTCTTCTGCAGCCCTTACAGCTAAATGACTTCTCTGTTAATGGAAGGAACTGACATAAACCAACACAAAATCTGTAAATTTGATTCTTTGAAAGACTAATGTGAAGTGGCATATTGACAACTCAAAGTGCAGACTAAGTGAACCTGCAGACAGAGCTCTAGAAAAGAAACAGCAGAAGGTAAGAGTAGTGGCTCATGATAGTCATGCTGTTGGAGTCTGAATGTCTTCTCATTCTTCATACAAGTGCAGCTCTGATATGAGACAGAACATATCTGGTACTGTCTCATCACTGAATTCAGCTTGTTTCTGGCTATTAGTATGTGGTGCTGTAATGTTGTATCTATGTGAAAAAACCTGTTGGAGGAACCATTTACTGGTAATGTGGCAGAACTTAATGGCAAAATTAATTGCAAATGAGACCTAGCAGGAACCGTACACAAAGGAGGGTCCTGGAGGTTAATTGTTTCAAATATAAAGCAGGGCAGACCATCAGTGACTTCCTTTGTAATTGCCCCTCTCCCTTTCCAGCAGGGAACAAGAGTGTATGCGCACAAGCACTCTGGGAGACTGGAAGTGGAGCACATAGAAGAGTTTTTATTTGAGGGAAGGGGCAGAGGGAGCAGAGCACAATGGGATGCTGGAGGACCAATCCCTCACCTGTCATACTGCAGTGTGTGCACATGTAACAGGAAATGCTTCCCTTTTTGAAGCACTTCTAAATAGTAGTCACTTCCTACAGGTTCGTTTTTGAAGCACTTCAGAGGGCATGCAAGGGGTTTGAAGCACTTCAGATACTATATGTCCTGGTGCTTAGGTTAGACCATAAGAAGAACTTCCTAACTATGAGGCTGGCTCAGCACCTGGAGCAATAGGACACCTAGAGCAGTGGTTCTTAACCTTCTTAGACTCAAGGCACTCCTCAGAAAATGCCAGCTTTTAGTTTTCAATTGTTTTTTCCTTTGTTTTTCACCGCACAAAAATAGAGCAATTTGTCTGTTGCAAAGAACTCAGAAAAACCACTGCACTACCCCTGAAAGGGTCATGAGGCATCAGAGAGGTTATTCGCACCCTGGTTGAAAATCACTGACCTAGAGACTGGAACCTCCATCACTGGAAGCTTACCTGTAGGCTGGGCAAAAACTTGTCCAAGATGCCTTAGGCAGGGATGCTGCTGCCTTGAGTAAGGGGTTGGACTGAATAACTTGTTCCTTCCAACCCCATTTTCTGTGATTAAATTGTGTGCGTGAGAGACAAGACCTTAGTTGTCAAAATAGTCACTTTCAGTGGTGTCTTTCTCTCAAACTACTTAAACCTGAAAATTAATCTCGTACTTTTTTTTTTGTCTTTCAAAACTAATTAGGGTGAATTTTTAGGTCATTTTAATTGGTGTGCATATGAAACTTGTGATTCCACTGGTTTTGGATGGTACATAGCTGAAGGGACCATGACAAAATGAGTTAGGTCAGTGATGTCAATTCCATTCTTATTACTCAGTCCCATCTCCACTGCCAGCAGATTCTGGGTGCTTCAAAGGGAAGATAGTTTAAAGAACATTCAAACTGTAGACCAGGGGCAGGCAACATTTTTGGGCAAAGCACCAAAAACACCTGCAACCTTGATTTGCAAGATGTTGGCATGATGGGGGAGCTGTGAGGGGTCTGATGCTTGGGCAGAGGCTGCGCTGCCACAGCTTCCTTTGAGTGCCAAGTAAAAGGCCTTTGCATGCCACGCTTTGGCACGTGTCAGGAGTTGCCGGCTTTAGACTTATGTTTTTCAGGCCCCTTATTTCAGGAATATAGCCACTTGCTTCAACTCTTTATGTACAAATCTTTTTTTTTCAGAGACCCACAATCTGCCAAAGCAACCACCACTTGCCCTAGCAATGGGACAGGCTTCACAGTGTCTAGGACTGATGGCCCGATCAGGAATTGGATCCTGTGCATTTGCCACAGTGGAAGACTATTTACACTAGCTATGCATTTGAAGATCGGAAACTTATTGTGTTGAATATTCAACGTGGAAGTAGACCAGCTCTGCTGACTGGAATTTGGATTTTTAATTATGTACTAAGGAGAGGTCTGTCGCTTTACGTTGCTTCCTAGTTTACAGCATGATGCAAATGATTTCTAACTTAGTGTTAGGAGAAAATTTCCATCTTTAAACCTCTTAGAGAACTAAGAGTTAAATTTCACGGATTTTAACATCAGACATCCAGATTGACAATTGCAAACCCTTTACATGATTGTCCAAAACAAACCAAAAATCCTACTGCTTTGCGGTGGGGCAGAAGACTAGAAAATGTTGTGGATGTATTAGCATGTGGGTGTAAACGTCAAGCAAGATGACTTGCCAGCCTCCACCCCCATTATTACATAGTTCAATCAGTGTAATTTGCAAAATGCATAAACATCTGATGGTTTGGATATATAGTGTTGATGGGAAGAAATGATATTTTTTAATGTGTACTGTAAAACTTGAAATACTCAGGAGCTGAGTGAATATGTTTGTTGCTACTTACAATCCCAACCTGTTGATCTTAGTAGTTTTTGTTTTAACATGGTTTTTCAACTCTGTTTCCTTGTTTAACTACAGAAAGCTTCTGTTGTAGACTCACCAGTTTAACTGTTGTATTATAACAGTATTACATGTCAGCACAGTGTGGTTATGACCTATTTATATAAAAACCAAATATTTAGTCAATTTACAGTCTTAATTTAATCTTTGTACACCTTGCATTTTTAAAAGTGCTTAAATAGTACTATATTGCAATAAAATGTAGTGATATCATAATTAATCAGCCATTAAAAACTTACTTCTACTTATATGTAGAAAAATATATATATTTGTAGCATGGCTTTGTATGCTACATTACCTTCTATTTTGTTCTATCTTGAAAATGAATTAGTATCAACTTCTAGGTCATTTTAATACATCACTTAGATCAAGCAAAAGTTGTTTTCTGGTGAACAGAATACTGCTTGCTTCCAAGTGTTTTTTGTCTGGACAAGCTGGGCTGCTTCTGGCTGTGATTAATGGACAAAAGTTTCCACTGAAAAATCTTTGCAGTTCTCTAAGCACTTGTGCTAAAGGTCATAAATGACAGCAGGGCACATTAAAAACTGGAGTGCGGGAGGCATAAGCCATCTTATAAACAGCCACAAGAGTTAAAAATTAGTGAGAGGATGGGGGTCAAGCTCCAGATCAAACTGATACTGAAAGGAAATTGAGTCAGTCTGTTTTGAGGTTGAAAGCAGTTGTCTGACTGGGACCAGAAACTTAACTTACTCTTTCACATCCCTTCTGAGTACTAGAAGCTGGTTTCACATGTGGCTGTTCTTGCGTAACTGGTGCCAGGGTTTGAATTATGGGCGGGAATGGGGTCTGCAGCAGTGTTAGGGGTACAGTCTGGCTGGGAAGTTGGAGTGCCTTGCAGGTAGGCATCACTGCCTGCCTGGCATGCAGCCCTGCCCCCACTGACTTGTGAGCCTGGAAAGGACAGGGTCGGGAACGCATCCTGGGGATTTCCAGATGGTCAGTCTGTACATAAAATAATCCTGTCTATAAAAGCCGTTAAGGAAGTAGTAAACTCTTCAGTCATAGCTTTTGATTATTGCTACTCTTGCTCCTGTGGTTGAAGGTACTTGGAAGTAAAGCTCCTTTAAGCTTTCTGCCTCTGGACTTTTAGGCTGCACTGGAACAGAGAAGACTCTCAAAGTAGCAGAAAAAAATTGTATAGTTGCAGTTCTCAGAGCAGTTTCAAGTTGCTGGTTAGGACAACAAAGTCTGCATCCTGGTTGAAAAGCCACCCCCCAACTTAAACAAGACCCTCAACCCAGAACCCACTAGCTTATAGTGACAAGTATCCAAGTGAAACGGAACCAGATGATTATTTCAGACGTTTGTCACAAAAAACAATGTAAACACCTCCCTTTTTAATGCACAAAGGAATACACTGTGTTAACAGTGGTGTCAGTGTCAACACTTTTTGCTTTTAAGATGTGCTTCTCCATACTGTGCGCAACAGGGAATTGCAATAGTTCAGTCACTGGCTGAGGTTGCTTCTACTGGATGTGTCCATTACTCTGCAAGGCAGACATCCTTCATTGCAAAAGCAACAACAGTAAGAATGCAACTGTGCAACACTAATTTTATTGCTGTCAACAGGGTTCCTAGCAAATAAAGACAAGTTTTCCAAATGTTTCTTGAAGGCTTTCACTTTAAATTGAGCCAGCACTTCCTGTTTCATGTTGCAGTTTCCAATTTTGAAATCCGGTGTTGTTTGAACCGCTGGGCTCTCTCTTTTTTTTCTGCTCCTAAAAGATGACAAAATGGAGCATGAAGATGAACAGCATTCAGCCATCGCCTTCATGCATACCAAAATTATATGACATTTGCTGTTGTGCATTTGAAAACCATCTCTAAACAGAGCAAGAAAATGCTTGCCTGTTCTTTGTAAGGAGTTTCTTTCAGTAGGTTCAACTATTTCACTAGCAACACAAATTATGCACTGACCAATACTGTTATGCCATATTTTCTTGCATACAGTGCACACCTCTAAAACCAGTAGCTGGAAACTGCAGTGTGTTATGTAAGAAATATGCTAAAAAGTTTCTATTTTGGTTTTTGCTGGCAACTTACATGGGGCAGAACACTGAGCAGGCTCAGCTCCCTACCTACTGCTACTTAGTTACTTATTCCAAAGAAAAATCTGTCTGCCTTTCAAAACAAGGCACATTTTCTTGTATACATGCCTAGAATAAAATATGGCACCAATACAGCTTCTGTTATTAATACCCATTCCTAAACCATTCTGTCCTCAGGCCTCAGTTAGGTCAGGCTCTATAAAAGTGCACCTTACCTCATCAATCACTATGGATAAACAGCAAGTTGCTTGTCTAGCATTAAATGATTGAGTAATTTTTGTCCTCATTTACTAGCCATTAGAATGTTGTGCAGTAAGAAAAAACTGTTACATGTTCATACTGGAAATCCTTGCCCATTTCAGAAGATGAATTTAGGACCTTACTTATTCCCAGTTGCTCATAATTTCTGTGGTCTCAGAACACCACTTTCTGCTATATTAAGTTTACACAAGTCAAGCAGAGGGGAATACTTGAATTAATTTATACTCCTTTGTCAGCATTTGTTGACTAAAAGCAGTATGAGTTCACTTTAGACACTAATTTTTGAAAGTTCTAGTTTGAAATAATCATTACTCCAGTCTAAATCTTGATGAATGAAATGTTTCAAAAGGGAATAATTCTAGGCACTTGCACTCATGCATTAAATGCTGGAGTAATGTCACAAGTGTTGTTCTGGGTAAAAGGCAAACCATACTTTTGCAGGGTCTTTTGTACATGCCTATAAAAGTCTGAGAAATGGGCATGTTCACTCTTGACCAGGCTGTCAGGCTGGTGGAATCTGACCACAGTCCAGGCATTCTCTTGAGCTCCCTAAGCGTACGCTCAGGGTATAGCCCATTTCATAAACAAGTCACACACGGTCTTAAAACTAGTTCTCATGCTTCATTATTCTCACTGGTGGACTGTTTTGTGCCTCAGACAGTTAGAAATTGTTTTTTCAGCCCAAGTTCATGTGTGGCTGGTTTATATCCATTTGTTCTTTTGGCAGCTTCATCCAGTAGCTTAAATAGTTCTGCTCTTGCCTGCATTTGGAGAGGGCCACCATAGCCTACTTGTTTTACAGGGCTGAATAAGCATATTTATTTTAACTCTTCACAGGCAACATGAAAGTGTAAAAAAAAAAAAAAAAAAGTGAACATGCCAGTTCTTATCCTTAAAGCATGAAACCCCCCCCACTCTTAGGCAACTTCTTGAATGCAAGCATACTTCAGCATCTCTCCCCCTAAGCCTTTTGGGGCTCATGGCTCTTCAGGGAGGTTGCTCATCATTGATCTTCTCCCTGCTATGAAACTTTGCCCAGCACTTCATCTCTCTCTCCCCAGCTATACCCTGGCCAGTCATTTCCAAACTCCTTTTACACTTTTTTGACTGCCTATTTTTCAGGTGGGAAAAAAGCAAAAGATAAGTGCCCCCTGGCATCTTTATTGGCCCAAAATACAGCAATTCAAGTTAAAGGTTCTCCATTTACCCTCCTGTTGGAGGCCCCATCAGCAAAGTGAATATGCCCTCAACAGATATCTGATGCAGATTCATAATATAGCACACTTCATAGTGGCAACTAGAATCCATACCTTGTATATACACATCAGGACATTTACAAGTCATCAACAGTTGCAGTAGCACTAATTCAGGTCAGATTTCACAAAGATTTGCTGGAAGGTAAATAGTTCTACCTTACCACCCGTTTGCACATAACTAGATTTACTCATAACCAAAAGAGTAGAAATAGATGAGGAACTAGCAACATGCCTGAGGCACAGTGCACTTACCCCAGGATTTCTTCACAAACTGAACTGCAGGTTTTTTCACCTGACTTGTCTTGTTTGCAAGAGAGAAGAACTGGTTTGCTGAAATGGAACAGAAAGAGGGAGCTGCTCAGTTTGTACGTAGCGATCAATCAAGAACAGCCAGAATCCAACCAAAAGGAGTCTCATTACCAGTTGTTCGGCTGGTGCCTGGTCCATAGAGATGGTTATGTATGAAGTCTTTAGCTGTTTGTTGGTGCCAGCTAGTTAGATCCTGGCCTTTTAAGCACACAGCTGAATAGCCTTCCTTCAACCTAGTTCAATAAAAGGTTAAAAGAAAAAAACCAAAACCATAGCTTATTTTCAAGCCCCAAATAGCATATGTAGCAGCCAATATTTTGTTTGTACAATCAATATTTTCAGTGGTTTCTAGGCCAAATGCCAGCGCTGTAACATAATATTGTTCAGCTTATCATTTGCTAGAAATATTTTATTTCACGTTAAAGCTTATATTAATAACTTGCCTACACACGCGCGCACGTGTGTGTGCGCGTGTATCTCTTCATTTAGATTGAGATGGTGCAAAACGAGTCTTACGCATCTATAGAAATCACTTTGCAAGTCCGTTCCAGCCAAGATAACTGCATTTTCTTGCATATGGCACATCCTTGTATATTAATATGCACCTTGATTTCCGAAGGCAGCTTAAGGGAAAAAAAGTCCAAGTAGCAGATTGCACAGCAGCAGCTAGGGAGCTGCGACTGCTCCTGATCCTGCTGCCAGCCCTGCACACTTAATCTGGGGCTGCATAGCAGGGCTGACCCTGCGCACCAGGTCTGGGGCCACAAATCAAGTCTGATCCTGCATGCTGGAGTGCATCTAGAATGCTGGTGGCAGGAGAGGTGCAGCCATGGCAGTTAATGTTGCCGTCTCCACATTTCCAGACCCATGGGAATCCTCTCTTGCCTACAATATGCACCTGCATTTTCACCAGGTAGTTTTGGAAGAAGAGAGAGATGTGGGCTATGTGTAAGAAAATATAGTAATCCACTTTCTGACCCATATTGCCAGTCCCATACTTAGACTGCATTTGCAGAATTTCACGTGTTCTGTGGGATTCTCTTTTCTTCCAAAGATTTTTTCCCTCTACTACAGTCTGCACCCTTTGCTGCTCTGGTTCACACATCTGCTACTGCTTATGCACCCAATCGGAGCCTTAGCTCCCTTGCAGCCATTCACATATTTTCTCCTCAAAATGATCTGAGGACTTCATACACATTCTGAATCTCCAGGCCTAATTTTCTCTAGGGGTTGAAAATGAAGAATCGTTTGCATCTACAGGAGATGAGACCTTGACCTTGTCAAAGGGGGCCTTTGCTGAAGGAGGAAAGCAATCACTCAGTGTGCACAGGAATCCAGGAATAAGAAAAAAGATGCCAGAAGTTCACACAAATACAACAAGCTTTTCTGCTGCTGTCACCAAGGATAATCTGACCCTGAGTAAGCTGTGAAGTACTGGATAAGATTGCTGGATAGAAGTAAAGTGAAGGGTTTCTCTTTTAATGATTTTAGTCCCAAGAGCTCTTCTACACAGAACAAAAAAACCTACTTAACACCATACCTAACAGTCACTGTTTCATCTTTACTGTCCTCTCCTGAGGCATACTCTTCAATCCCATTGTCAGACCCATCTTCCTTTCTGCCTAGACAGATATTTAATATATAAAAAAAAGTGTAAACAAGTCACATCTACACATTACTGTCAACCTGTAGGTAGGTAAGAGGTACAAAATGAAAAGAAGTAAAACTGACCGTACCAGTTCTCAGTGGCAGGGAGGAGAGGGGTGGCAAGAACAACAATGAACAAGTGAAAAAAAACCCAGGTCCTTAGTTGAACCAAACCTGTTTGGCTCATTTTTAGAAGCAGCAACTCAGAACTCCTAATATATCTGCTGCCTTGAGAGGCTACAATTGTGCAGGGAAGAGAGATTATTTAGACTTTGCAGCAGCCATGTAAAATCACATAACAAGAACTTCTACCCAACAAGGAAAGAGATGGCTTGGTCATAGGATGTTCAAACTCTCTCCCTGGATCAGTATACAAATCTGCTGTAGTTAAGTGAGAAATGAAGCCATAAGCAGGGCTACCCTTTAATACAGTTAAAAAAAAAAAAAGAGCAAGAAAGAGAGAGGAGGTAAGTTTAGTCCAGAGAGGTTTAGCACATGGTCACCTTCTTTAATTTTTAGAGAATTAAAGATCCAAACTAGATTATAAATATTTCTGGGATTGCAAAGGCCCTGGATTTTGTTTTCATAGTTGATGAGCTGAAAAAAAATTTGCATCCATTCCCCACCCCTCGCCACTCACATGTGGTACAACCAATAGGATCCCAGGCTTTGTGCTCCAAAAAATCAAGGCAGTGTGTTTATAAAGGCATGTTATATTAGGAGAATGTTTGTTTACAAATCAGCACCACTTCACCTAAGCAGGAGCAGTACAAGCTGCTTCTAGAGATACATGGAACCTTTTAAATCAAGCAGCTGCACAGCCAGCTAACACCTTCAGCAGGCTAAGTTGTCTCCCAGCTGGCAACAGTGCACTAGCAGAGATCAAGTTTTCCTGTCCTGGAGGCTGGCTTTCCCAAAGAAGCTCCTTGCCACCAGGTCTAACAATACGGACCTAATGCAACCCCAGAGGCACTAAATATCAAGCAGAATGTTGCAACTTACCTTCATTGGTCGAGTCGGACTCTTTGTTTTCACTAAGGAGGAAATGTGGAAATTGTTTAGAAAGGTTGTTTTAAGCTTAGAAAGACACCCTCCCGCCAGCCATTCCAGAGACCATATGAGTCTATGCCTTTGTCCACAGCACTGACTAAAAACATTTAGGCAGACATACTGCAAATTAACCCTGCACCCTCCCCAGATACTGCTGCAACCCTCTTCCCTGGCACAACCTGCTGCTCCCTGCCCTATGCTTCCAGGCTGATCTGTTGCTTCCTCCCCTGTTCTCCCTGCCTGGTTTGTGGCTCTCCTTTCTGCTCCCTGCCTCACGTGGTGTGGTGCTGCGCTGCCAGTCCCCTCCCCTACCTGCCAACTGGCACACACACGAGCTGCCTGTGCCCCTTGCAGCACCTGTGCAGTGGGTTATCCACCCCTAGTTTGTAATTACCTTGCTCCGCTGCTAGTTCTGGCAGCAGACCCCAGCCAACACCACCACCCAGGCGCAGAGCAAGGGCACATCTACATGTTTCATGCAGCTGCTGTGCTAGCAGGGCACAAATGCTCCCTGGGAAGGCAGTGGTTACAGCCCACAGAAAGCCTGTACCTGCTGCTGGGTGACAGCATGGAGCTTCTTCCAGCCAGCAGCAGCATTCCCCTGCCCTGCACCAAGGAGAGTGCACCCAGCTCTACCAGCAGCAGTGTGGAGCAGGCCCTTCCTGCCCAAATAAATCAAGACTTTTGAACCATCATGCCTGTCGGTGGGCCTCAGGCCCAGAACCCAGACCAAGAAAACTGACCCTAAGTTCTCTCTCAGTACCTGGGTCACAAGCCTGACCATGGGGTCACCCCCAGAGCCCAAGTTTCTCCCCAAGGCAACTGATGCTTCAGGCTGCC